GAAGGCCATTTTTGCTTGAGCTCAGCCCAATGTTCAGGTGGGTCGCGATGGCGCCCGGCCCAGTAATTGCATTCAAGGAGTACGTGCGACCATGAAGCATCGCAATGGCAGAGCGGGCATTGTTGAGTGCCCCCATTTTGGTTATGAAGCACTGCGCCTTGCCACAAAGCTTGAAGCCACTTCGTGGTGCGCTTGTGTTTGGTTTCACGCTGTGTTCTGGTCCTGTGGCTGGCCCAATCAACACCGTCGGCAAGGAGAGGGTCATCCACAAACGCCGCAATACGGGCATGCCGAAGTTGTAGAAGTTTTGCTTTAACCCTCTCACACAGGAATGCCTTAAAACCGGGTTCCTTCCAAGTGCAGGCAAAATCCTCACCATCCCAGTTCCAATGCTCCAAACTGTGAGCATCGATCTCAAGTTGCATGAGATAGGCTTGCGCAGCCGCCATCGGGCCAGAAACACATTTCCACGGGTGCGGCGAAGCCTGGAGTCGGCTCCACGTGCTGCTCCAAGAAGTTTTGAGCTGACCCCACAGTGTCTCCGGCCATCGAAGAAAAACCTTAGCAACCGTGGCAAAGTGCTGTGTTAAGATAGTGATAAGAGGGTCCTCAAACTTGCTATGCAAATCGAAAAGCAAATCAAGGCTGCCAAGCTTGTGTCGCTGCAACTGCTGCGCAGCACACCCTCGCAGCCACTTCAAACGCTTCGGAGAGATACCCTGAGCCTGATGACCCCAAGCAGCAGAGGCGAAAATGCCTCCTTTGTACAGTCTCCACTTGTGGGACAAGGAGGGAACTTTGAGCGATCGCATACGCCCTGCTCTGGCCTGGCCCTTTGCTTGACGAGCCTTTGCAACTGTAATCCTGCGACGACGTGCTGCAGAGTAATCCGTTCCTAAGTCGCGCGCTAGGGACATGATAGGCGGGTCGTCAGGGCCTAAACGCTTTTTTAAAGATTTTTCGGATGGTGAGTCCGTGCAGACAAAACACGTTTTTGCGATGGACATGTGGAGTCCATCCTGCTGCAAGGCATGCTTCAACAAGTGGTATGATTGAACAGCCCGATGTGCCGTCTTCTCTGCTTGAGCGCCTTCAGTATCTACACTGACATCGTCCAACCAAGCCGTGATGTTGTCAGCAAGTTTGGACTTGTGCAATGAAGAAAGGCTCGGGAATAGTGCCAGTTTGGCAATTGCTGGCGCATAGGGGCATCCGGCCATGAGGCCGGATGCCCCGAAGCATCTGGGCGAAACAACACTATCCGAAATGATGTATCTGGCCCCTCTGTAAACTTTCAAGGCAGTGTCGGCACACAGTGGCGGAAAGTTATGCAGCAGGGCCTGCTGGGCAACCAGTTCATGTGATACTGATTCATAAAATGTTTGAATATCTATGAAGAGAACTATCCGACTAAGCTTTCTGGCCCTCGCGAGTTCTGCTTGCAGCAGACGCCTGATGCTGACATCAAGTGTGCTTTGGCCCGGTACAGCATGCTCCCAAGGGGCTTTGTGAATGAATGAAGCAAGCCATCGATCAACTTCAGAAAATCTCAGTTTCGCCCACAATCGGTACGACGAACTGCACAAAGCAATAGGCCTCTCGACTAGGAGATTCTTAGGCAACATGGTTATCAAGGTTGTCAGCCAGTGCTCCGGCAAAATCCCATCACACTCTATGCGATGGAAAATTTTTAGTAAAGCTTCTAGCGCCTCTTCCGGCAAAACCTTGAACTGTGCGTAGCTCCAACCATCGGCTCCCCCAGCTTTGTTGCTGAGCTTGCGAATCCTTTGCTTGATTTGTTCAAGGCTCAAGGGAGGTAGCTGTGCCGCGTGCTGCCGGGCTACTTGCTGAAGCTGAGAGTCGAGCTCCGGTAGAGGCGACGGTTGCGCCTTCCACAATTTGCTCCAGAACTCCAGCCTAAGGAAAGGCCGAAATTCCAACGGACGATCAAGAAAAGGCCTTTCAACTTTGGCTTCTGGATTGCTGAGTGCTCGGAAGAGGGGCCTCATTCCAGCTTTCATGGAAGACTGAAGCCAAGACTGATAATCCGCACTTTGGTTCGAAAGATGCAACTTCCGAGCATGGCGCTGCTGTCGGGACGTGGCCTCAACCCAAGCGGCATCCGGCTCACAACCGGTGAGCATGTCAAGGGCCTGAGCCTGCCATTGGTTAAAGGGCAGGTTGCCAACATCAGCCCAATGGGTGTCAGCCTGAGCTAAGAAAGTCTCCGGTTGTGTAGAAGGATTGCTCTGGAAGGCTCGAAAATTTTTGGACCAGAGCAAACTTTTCTTCCCGAGCGTCGGACGATGCGCGCGGCTCCTAGGCCAAACTGTACAAGCTAAGCAAAGCTACGAGAAAAGCTACGGATCTGACAGCCTAGCTACGGAAGCAAAACTACGCAGCCCGAAAGCCGCGAAGTCTTGCTGTTGCACGCAAGCCAGCCAGGCTGGACCACGCAGCAGAGGCATTGGTGGGAGTGACGTATTCAACGGGTCATGCACACAAGCCACCGTATGCCCCTCAGAAAGCTCAATGGGCCTTCACAAGTGCTTGAGGCCTCAAGTTGAAGGCAGTACAAGAAAACCGTCGTCAAAGAGAAGCGAAAGGTAGCCCCGTAGACCAGCAGCAGCAGCCTTCGTACACTTTGTACAACCTAACCTACAGAGCTACCGACGACTGTACACAGCGCAGCAGGAGGTCGTGTGAACACTGAAAGTGCCCACACCACCAGCCTGCAGTGGCCATGATCATATGAACTGACGAGGTGTGTCTTGAAGGCGCCTGGCACAGTAGGCATAGTACATCAAGAATCCAATCATCTTTAGAGGAAGCCTAGACTCCAACCAGAGTGGTGTGAACACGCAAGTGCCCTCACCACTGATGCTAACTTCCTGTTGGGATCTTGAAGCTCGTTTTGGGCCTGGAACCGAAAAAATGGGCCTAGGTCCTTGGGCTCCACACAAGGGAATACAGACCTGGGCCCATTTTCTTGGCTACGAGCCCTGAGGAAATTTCCCAACCACTGAGGGACATGACATTATAACCAAAGGCCACAGCTTAGAGGGTCAAGAAAACCCTATGCAGGGATTCGCAAATGCCACAGTGCTCACAGCACCAGACAAGTCTTACCAGGAGCCCCCACAAAAGCTGCCAAGTGGCATATGCTATCGCAATTCCACAAGAGTGGGAGCATGCTCTAAACTGGCCACAAGCTTGGCCTCACGGATCGCTTCAAGTTTTCGGGTGCAGCTTCAAGCGCACACCGGCAGGGTAAAGGACCAAAGCGCCTAACTTAAACCACACAAGGGGAAACCGGCCAACTAAACAGCCCAGAACCACTGAAGAAAGAAACCAAACTGAAGACAACCGAAAATGGCCAAATTCCGGGAGCTGCCAGAAAAGCGCTCACCTGGAACGATCGCTTCAGGTTTGTTCAGGGCAACCAGGCAGCAAGTGCTGTTGCGGCATTGCACCAACAGTTTGGCGCTCTCAGTATGCAGGCGCAGCCAACAGGCGCACACCGGCTCAGGGTGCAGCCAACAGGGCGCACACCTGATTGCAGCTTAAGATATAGGTTTGAAAAGGCTCGGCATAAGTGCAGAAAATGGGTGCAGCAGCGAGCGCACACCAGCACGGCAGCACTAAACTACCAACCTTACCTGCCCTAACCCACCCCGCGCAAACCCTAGCCTACGCAAAGGACAGTCGGGTTTGTTTGGAGGAGTCCTTGCACTGGGATTTGGGTTTACACTTGGGTTTAGCCTTAACCTTGGGACCAGCTTTGGCCCGAGGTTCCATAGCCACACCAACGGCTGCAACCTGGGGCTGCCGCCCCTGCAAGGATGCCTCAATCGTGCGGTTTTTGGAGCCCTCAACATTGGCCATCGACCTCGCTTGAGTCTTCGAATTCATCTTACGACCAAGGCCTTTACAAGGAACCTGCAGCACGGACGAAGTCGAAGTAGCAGCAATCTTAACAATGGCCAAACACTTAGTGCACGTGAAGAAAGAACCCTTATTGGCCATGTCATGAGTCTCATGCACTTGCCAAGCGGATGGCAAACTGGCGGCGATATCAAGGCAGGGGTTGGAAGCCTTGCGATCAAAAACGTCTTGGCTGTTACACTGCTCCAAGTACAAATTGCAAACAGTGCACTGAATGGAAAAATTGTTCACAGCTTTGGACTCACAGTCACGCCAAACATGACCCAAGGCAGGATCAGGGCTTGCAAGCATATCTTTGAGCCGTTGCTTTTTGTTCGGCTTGGAGGCAGTGGGGTTTTTAGGCTTCAAAAACTTATCACCCCCAATAACACGGGAGGAACATGGTTGGGATTGCGATGCTTGGCTGGCGCGCTGCATCACCCAAGGAAAACATTTGTCACTCTTATGCTTAAGAATAAACCCCACTTTTTTAGCGAGATGTAAACAAACATCCTCGCAAAGCCTGTCAATGGTTTTCAAGTCCGGCCTGCACGCTGAAGAATAAACCTCGGCGGACCTAGCCCCGCAAAGGGCATCGACGTCCTCGTTGATGAGCCGTCTCCATTCATCAAGGTTGCGCTCAGCGAAAAAAGCAGCACTCTTATGACTTGGAACCCAAGTAACAGCAGCTCTTGATCTGTCATCCCAGCACACACCCCAAGGCACGGGCCCTTCATGGGGAGGCGATTGCTTGGCAACAACATGAGTGACGGCCTTGCAATCCACCGTAACATCAAAGGAGCCAGACACCCGACCAAACAACTCAAAAGCCGCCTGCTGCTCGGCTGCCGCAACCGTCAGGGGCTGCACCGGTACGCAGGTGATGCTAGCCACTCGTTTGGGACCTTCAGGCTCCAACCTGTAAGCAGCCAGGGCCCAAGTTACACAAGCCAACCTGTGATCACGAGCTCCCGGGCCCCCTGAAGCATCGGACGCAAAAACCAACGAGTCACTAGGTATGACCTGCCGGTGGCGCCAAAGCCCTTCAAACACATAACCCTCAGCACTCTTATCCCTCAGTAACGCCGTGGCCTCTTGCGGAACCAAACCTCGGAGCCAAAGGCTAGGCCACGGAAACTGCTGGCGGGCCGCACGAAAGTGCTGAGGCGCAGGGAAAGGCTGGGCAATGAAAGGGCAATCCCACAAAACATGTTGCAAATCAAGCGGACAATGACACCTGGTGCACCAACCTTGTTTAGACCTGCTCACTAGGGCACCCTGCCAAAGAGCCTGAAGATTCACAGCCATGTTTTTGTTGAAAAACTTCCTTTTCTGCAGTCTTTCAGGAACAGTGGCATCCAGGCCACCTCTCAAATTTTGGCACCCATCATTCAAGGAGACTCGCTGCAAGCGAACATCTTCCCAAACTGGTAGGAGCCAGTGCCACACACGGCGAGTGGCATCGGGACTAGACCAATCAATGGTCAAGATGCTGCCATCTCTGCTCCAACGGTGAGCCTGAGGAGCCTGCACACCCAACTCGTGCAGGTAGGCCATGAGAGCCGCCAAGGGCCCATTGACCTTTTTCCAAGGATGCTTGGAAGCCATGAGCCATAACCAAATGTCGGCCCAAGTCGACCGAAACTTATCCTGATCACAAGCATTCCAACGGCGAAAGACCCTAGCAACTGCACGTACATGTTGCCGAAGCAGCGTCAGATGAGGGTCCTCACAGCGGCGGCGGTTAACAATGAAAGTAAGATCCATGCACCCCAGTTTGTGACGCCCTAAATGCTTTGCAACAAGGGTGCGATAAAACTTTCGCCTCTTAGGGCTCACCCCCTGAGCCTGATGGCCCCACAGGCCTGCCGAGCACAGGGATGCGCGAACGATCCGTAAACGGTGTGCTCGCCCCGGCACAGCAAGCTTGTTGAGCTTGCGCGATCGCCCTGCCGCCTTTTTCCTGCGGCTCTCTGCCAAGCCCAGCACCCGCCTGCGTCCACCCGCCGAGGTGATCCCGAGATCACGGTTCATCGGCTTAACCTGCGGATCCGAGGCATCAAGAATTTTGCCAAGAGCTTTGGCAGCCTCAGTGGACGAAGTCACAAAGCAAGTTTTGGAAAGCGAAACCTGGGCCCCTTTGGACTCCAAGTCCTGTCTCAGTCCTCGAAAAAGCTTGAGGCTATCACTAGCAACCTGAAGCGGTGATTTATGAACCGTATCCAAGGACAGATCATCTATCCAAATGTCTAAGTTGGAGGCACTCTTCTTAGAGGCGAGTTTGGCGGCAACCGGGTGTGTAACAAGTTTGGACACCGAAGGTGCCGCAGGACATCCTGCCAGGACTCCCCTGCCCGGCCATATAGGCGGGCAGAGGGCGCCTTCGGACTGCACAAACCTGGGACCCATGTAAGTGAGCATGGCCTGGTGCAAAATCAAGGGCGGGTAAGCAAGGGTAAGACCCGAACTAATGACATCATTAAACAAGCATCGGTCATAAAAGGTTTCCATATCAAGAAACAGTGTTATCAGGTGATGCCTGCACCGACGGGTTGTTTCGCCCAACATCAGCCTGGCCAAGGCCACATCCAAAACCTGGCCACCAGGCAGTGCCTTGTCCCAGTGAGCCCGCCGGGCATACGCAGATTGCCATGCAGACACCAGCGGCCACCTCAATTTTGCCCAAGCCCGATACAAGACATGGAGAAGGGCAATGGGACGTTCCCGTTTTTCAGATTTGGGTAAAAGCGCTATAAGCGCGAAAATCAGCTGATCCGGCCACGCGGCCCGTTTCTCGCAATGGTGCAAAAAGTCAAGAATGGCCTGAACTGCCTCGGCGCTGAGATTACGGAGGACCTCACACGTCCACCCGTCCAAGCCCGGCGCCTTGGAGGGCAATTTCTTAAAGAAGGCAACAGCCTTGTCAAGAGGAATTGGCGCAATGTTATGGGCCTGCTCCACAGCTGCTACCCTGAGCGTCGCAAGAAGGTCCTGGTCCACCCCAGCCGGGTGCGACCACAAGTCAAACCATTGGCGCCACCGCAAATAAATGCGCTCCTGGACGGGCGCTTCAAGAAACGGCCGAATGGTGATGACCTCCTCTGCCCGCACACTTTTGAACAAGGGACGCATGCCCTTGGACGTGGCCTGACGGAGCCATTTCTCATAAGAGACACTTTTGCTCTGTTGCCACTGCTTAACAAAGTATTGTTTTTGCGCCTTAGCAACATCAAGCAAACCACGGCAAAGATCATGGCAGCCTTCATCAATAAAAGCCTGAAGCTCAGAATGGCAGGTTAAGGCAGCCTCCTCACTGCCATGCCAGTGATCCGCAAAACAATGCACAGCCCTCTTTGCAAAGGGGCTGACCTGAAAGTGACGGGAGCAAGCTTCAAGCCAAACAATAACCCGATTCCAAAAGGAGACATGGGCGCCTCCCCAACCAGAATCTGGCGCCGTCTGCAACATCAAGGGCTTACGGCAGCACGAAACCCGGGCTCCACGGCCCTGGCAGTCGCCATAAACCGACAGCTCAATATCACGGCTGAGGCTGGCGAAAAGGGAAGAAAGACCCTCATTGGAAACCTCAACCCCCAAAAGGTGCACAGAACTACCATGGCAAGCCGTGGCAGCCTGCTCACCTTGAGCATCATTGGTCAGCCTAAGGTGGAAGGGCTGAGGCCTTAGAGGCATGGGTTTAAAAGGCACAAGCTGGGGTAGCTTAACATCCAGATGCTGAACCTGCAGAGACCAGTGCAGGGCTGCATGGGGAGCAAAAGGAGTGACCCAATCAATCGAAAGCGAAACGGCCGAGGCCAGCGAGGGCGACATCAAGCCATAGTCGATATTGCCACCCCCAGCACATGTGGACTCACCAGAACTGATCCACCGGCCTTTGGCCTCCTGCTCAAGACTGGTGGCAGCAATGACCTCAAAATCTTCGTTGAAATCACCAGCCACAAAAAAGAAGCCACGGACCGAACGAAGGAAAGGGATCAAATGTGCAATGATTGGCGCATTGTGGCTGCCCTGGAAACCTTCACCGGCCTTCAGGTAAACATTCACAAAATAGCAATCGGCATCTTTCAACCTGAGGGCCGCCACCTGAAAACCAACCCCCGCCCGGACAAAGTGATGCACACGCCTCATGTTCAAGTGCTTGCGAAAACAGATGGCTAGACCACCTGATGTGCCACCTTTGCCGGTGGGATGGGCCGGGACGCTAAAAACATTATAACCATGAAACCCAAGCTGAGCCTCAATCAAGTCAGGCTGGTCTGGCGAAAGATGTGTTTCCTGCAGCAGCAGAACGGCCGCCTTGTGTTGAGCAATCCAAGAGCACAAGTCCTTTCTCCAGGCAGTGATGTTAGCACTGATCACATGCACGTCAGGCCGCACTTTGGGACAGGTCAAATTTGCAAGCGCATCCTCAATTGCCCAACAAGCCACATGCCTAGGCACATCTTCGTGGGTCTCCACTGCTAGCTCAGCAGCCCTCCAAACGAAAGTGCCCTCCTGCATGCAACCATGCTGCTCCATCGCCTCCACAACCTCAAGCAGGGCTCCTTCCGCACCGGCAATGACAGCCTGCTTAACGGAGAGAAGTGCACGATGTTGGTCATGTTCCCGAGTGCCGCCAACAGGGCGCACATCGGGTGGCATCTCAGGTTTTGCGGACCCCTCTGGCGGCACATTTGGGATCTCAGAACCTCGTTTTGGGCCTGCAACCGAAAAAATGGGCCCAAGTCCTTGGGGCTCCTCACAGGGGAGCAGAGCAAACTTTTCTCTCTCGTACGCTTCGCAGAAGCAGCCCGTAGGCTTGTCCGACATGCACAAATTAACTCCAAGTATTTTGGAGTCATCCGCGATTGCGGGCATCGCCAAAATGGCGGCAGTGGCTACTCCTACCCTGAGCTACAGGTGCCTGACCTACCTGAGCTACTGGCAGGAGTGGGTAGCCACTTCCTGGGAGTGGGGAGCCACATCCCAGTGAAACAGGACGAAAGTCCTACAGGGAGGAAGCCTCACCCGGAGGGGAGGAACCCTTCACCCTGCAGAGCCTCCTGCCTCTGCAAAGGAGAGGGGAGGCTAGGAGGCCAAAAACCTCCTGACCCGCTCCTGATGCCCGGGGGTCATGAAATGGGCTTGCATATGTTCGATTGTAGGGCACCTGACCCTACACGCGTAACAAAAGAGCCCATCCGGGCTGTGGACTGCACGGTGGGGTCCATACGAGGGTGGTGCCTCCACATCCTCTACAGGAGCTGATTCCGAAGAAGGCTCCTGAGGGGGGGGGCACCCCGTCCCTCCTGTAGACCCAGCAGCCTCGCTGAGGGGGGCTCGCTGGCCTCGGGGACCTCCGGCTGCAGGGCCGAGGGCCCAGTGGCCATGAGGGTCCTTTCACCCTCGCGGAGTTGGTCGCCCATGGGCAACCGCAGGTCCAGGACCGCCTCGTCTGGCCAGACCTGGAGGCAGTCCAAACCTCCCAGCTTGAGCCTGTTGCGGCACAGGCTGCGCACCTCAGAGGCGAGGGCTGAGGGCTTCACTGCCAGGGCGATCCATCTCGCCTCCGGCGGTTGGCGACACTCTATGTCGAGGCGCATGAACTGGGTCGCCGCCGGGGCACCGCCCGGGACATCGCCCCTGGTCCTCTTGCGAGGGGCTGCTTCTCCCTCGGGTGGGTGGGGAGGAGGAGGGAGGGGAGGAGGCTCCTCAACCCTCGGTGCACTGGCAGGTGCCAGGTGGCTGGGAGGGGCACTAGGGGCTCCTTTCTCCCTCTGGGTCCCCTCCCCTGGGCCGTAGGAGACCGGGGGGCCAGCAGGCGGGGTCTCACGCCCCGAGGTCTTAGGTGGCGCCTCCTGAAGAGCAGGATCCTGCTCACTGGCTTTGCCAGCAGGTCCCGCGGAGGACGTGTCGCGGCTGGTGGCCGGACCACCTGTTCCTTCCTCGACCCTGGAAGGGGAGGTTGAGCCTGTTGAGACCGGATCCCCAGAAATGGGGTCATCCTTGGTTGTGGTCTCGTCTTTGGCAGGCACCTCCTCCATGGGTGCGGCTGTGGGCACCTGGGTGGCCTCCTGGTCGGAGGGTGCCGTCACGGTGCCGAGACCCGGCGCAGCAGAGGGTGGGTCAGGCTCCATCTCCTCTCCAGAGCTGCTGGGGTCGTTGGCCGTCCTGGCCCTGGCCGACGACTTTACCGCCGTCGTTTTTTGAACGATGCGGCGGGACCAGGGCAGCATCTCTTCCTGGTCTTCTGGCTCAAGGGGCTCCGCCGGGGCCGTCGGGGGGCTGCTCTCGGAACTTTCCGTAGAGCTGGTTGAGGCTTTAACAGCCTTTGCAGCCCCTTTGCTGTTACCGCCTGTCCGTCTGGAAGGCGGTGGGGTGCGGACTCTAGGCGGCTTGTCGTCTGGCGAGGCCTTGGGAGGGTTGGACCCATCCCTTTCGGCCTTTAGGGCCTCCCTCTGGCTGCGAGGGGGACGCTTACGGTTCCGCACAAAGCTGGAAACCGAAACCCGCCTCGCATCGGGGTTTTTCTTGGCACGCTCGTCCACGTGCTTCCGGTAGGCCTGGACGAGGGCCTTGTCCTCCCTGTGGACGGAGGGCTGTTTGCCTCGTCCTTTTGAAGGGGTGGAACGACCACGCCCTTCAGAGGAGGCGGGTGGGATGTCCCTGGACCCGCTGGCACCGGTGTCGCCAGCCTGGTCGGTCCAGTCCCACTCGTCCCACCAACCTTGCCAGTCCCGCCAACCTGTGGTGGGACCATCAGAGCCGCCGGTGTCACCACAAGCTCCAGGGTTGGAGCTGTGGCTGGCGGCCTGCTCTGCAGTGGGCTCAGCTGGGGGCTCCCAGAAGTCAGCCCCAAACGGTTCTGGTCCGTTCCAAACCATTCGCCAGACCCATCTCCAGGAGTGGTAGCACCACCTCCTTTCCCATTCCCAGCCCATCTCGAAAATGAGAGGGCTAAGGCCGGGGAAGCGAGAGGTGCACGTGGGCCATGGCTGCAGCTACTGCGCTTTAAAGGCTTGGGGAGAACTGCGTCTGAGGAAGGTGTTGTCGTCCCAGGTGACAAGGGAAAAGGGGGCCCTTAGGGAAAGTGCCTACAAGGCTACGGCTTCCTAAGGCTTCCCACCTTGGGCCCAGAACTGCCGGAGCTTAGGTTGAGTCACAGGCTTGGGCTTCGGCTTGGGCTTCGGGGTGGGTGCAGCAGACCCTTCCCCAACATCACCAACCGACACAGGAGCCTCAGGGGCCTTGGGTTGACCTGAGAAAAGGGGGGCAAGGGCGGAGGACTTGGAGCCTGAGGGTCTTGGGGCCTTACAACCAGACGCGCGCGCGGGCTTCTGCTTTCTCTCCACAGGTTTTGCCTTATCCCCCTCGTGGTGCCCAGAGGTCTCTGTGTGGGCCTCCCTCGCGGTGTGGGAACCACTACCGCTGACCCTAAGGGTCCTAGAGCTGGCCTGAAGGGTTGACTCGGGCTCCCTCAGCGCAGGGGAGGGAAACTCCGACCCTCTGCCCGGCGGTGGTCTCGCTGGGAGGCTCGAGGCCCGTTTGGCCTTTGTGCTGGTTGCCACCTGAGTGGTACCTGGCGGGCCTTGGGCTGCGGCTTTCGGAGCAGGCTGGTTGTGCCTGCCTCTTTTGCTTTGGCCTTTGGAGGAAGACTGTTCCGGGGTGCGAGAAGGCTGAGGGGAGGGGACCTCAACCCTGTCCGCACCACTAGGGTCGGCAACCGAGCCGGGGTTGTGAAGGCGACTCCCCCGCGAGAGACCAGATCCCTCGTTCCCTGCACGTCCTAGCACCTTCTGGAGAGTGTCCTGGGTGGACGTCTCCTTAAGGTATTTGGCCGCCCATTGGGTGCCACGTTTTTTGTGGGCGCGGGAGGCCCCCTCGCACTGCGATTTGGCCACAGCCGTGGGGTTAAGCTGCCCTGGCTTGTGGACCGCATAGCATTTGGTGCAAAGGAGGACTGCCCCCATGCAGTAGAATGAGTGGGAAGCGTGCAGGCCAAAGTTGCTGAGGTCGGGCAACGGCCGGTGAGCGCACGGCTGTGCCTCCAGACGCCGGAAGGCCTCGGAAGAATGGGTCTGCTGGATAAAGAGGGAACAAACCTTACAAACCAGGGAGTGGTTGTTGGGGTTCGTATGGCTCCACTCAAATTGGTGCCCATGGTGGCCTACCCCTGCCATTAGGGCTTCCAGGCGCTGTTTTTTGTTAATGCCCCCATCCGCGCCAGGTCGGTGCTGCCTCTGAGGAGGTTTGGCCTGTTTCACCTTAAACCTGGCCTCAGGGCGAGGAGACCTCTTGCCCTTTACCGGGCTGTCACCGACGGCCTCCCATGGGGGCCTGTCGGTGCTCAGAAGTAGCACTTCGGCTTTTCGTTGGAGGTGCTGCGCTACCTCTCGCGCCAGATCATCTGCGGGGGATGGATCCCACTGCGGTAAGTGGGCGATGGCGGCAAGCGCAGCTTCACCACAAGCGGCGTCAGCCTTGGCGTTGATGGTCCGGCGCCAGCTCTGATCGGGGCCGAATTCAGCCGCGTGTTCGGCCTCCGTGGTGTGGGACCTGGTCCACGTGACTTGCGCCAGAGATGCCTTATCAAGGGCCTGGGCCCATACCCATGGCTTGACAGCGCGTGACTGCTGCTTGGCCACCGCGCTGCAGTCGGAGGTGCAATCAGCCCGCTCCTCCAAGTGCGAGGCGAGCCTTGCGACCGCAAAGCATTCCCCTTCGCACACTGAACTCCCTGGGGGGAGGAGGCCAGTGAGTTGGCCTACCTGGAGAGGGGCACCCTCCGTCCAGGTGAACGCGCAGATGGCCCAGGCCACTATTCTGCCCCTGGCGTCGGCCGCGTAGGGCCCGCCAGAGGCGTCCGTCGAATAGAAAAGCCCCTGTGGCCACTTGGCCTCTTTGCAAACACCATCGGCCCGTTCCGACTGCGGGCCCCAGCAGTACCCCTGAAGCTGGGTGGCCTGAGCCGGCATTAGGCCCCGTTCCCATAGACAGTCGAATGGGAACTGGGTAGTAAGGCGCTCCCAGTGTTTGGGAGGAGGGGGTGCCTTGCCGCGCCACCATCTGCAGTCGGTGGTGACGTGGTGCTGGGTGAGGGGCACCTTGCACAGAGGGCATTGCTGGCCCGCTTGGACATGCCGGTTTTTCAGGGCTCCCTGCCAGGCCATTCTCAGGGCTGCAGACTTAATCCGCGGGGCCTTTTTCACAAGGGCAGTGGGAACCGTAATGTCCACACCAGAGGACAGACTGCTGCAACCCGTTTGGGTACTGATGGCCTTCCGCCGGGCCTTGTGGCAGGCGCTGGTCAAACACGAGAGGATGGCGGACCAATGCCTCCGAAGGAGGGGGTTGAGGGCCACCACCCCAGAGTCCTCAGGGGTCCCTGCCAGGGTAGCAGGACAGAGGTCTGCAGGGAATAGCCAACGGTCCGGGGTGGGAGCCACAAGCCCGAAATCCAGCAGATAGGCTATCATGGCCCCCAGCGGTCCACAGACCACTCGCCATCTGTCTTTCCTTTGGAGCTGGGTAGTGAGCTGCGCCCACGTTCGCTCCAGCTGCTCGCGGTCAGGGAGGCGGACCATCACCCGACAGAGAGCCTTGAAGTGTTGGGTGACCACTGCCACCCGGGGGTCCTTGACCAGCCAGGCACCAAGTTCCAGCGCGATTTCAACGCTGCCCGTGCCAACCTTGCCGGTGATGGCGGCAGCTTGGAAACGCACCGATTTCATGGTTTTGGGGCTCACCCCGTGGGCCTGGTGCCCCCAGATCCCCGATGCCAGCACGGACATGGAAAACACCCGGCTGCTGGCCTTAATGTTGCGGACCTTAAGGCTGCGAAGCTTGCCCAGTCTGGCATTGGCTTTGGTCCGCCGCGCCGTGGAGAGGCGAGTACACCGTCTCCTGCCAGCTGATAGCGTCATCCCCAGGTCTTTGGCAACACTCTGGATGGGGGGGTCACCCTCTCCCAACTTTCGCCGCAGGGCGCGCTCAGCTTGGGAACTGCTCGCCAGGAAATAAGTCTTGCCGATAGAGACCTGGTACCCGGCGGCAGAAAGCGAGGCATGCAGCCGTCTGAAAACCCTAATGACTGAGTTCGCTGCTTGGTCCGGGCTGTGATGTTCAGTATCTACCGTGATGTCGTCTATCCACGTATCTACGTGGTTGACATGCGGTCCAGAGCAACACTGCCGAATCGGCTCGCCCACAGCGAGTTTACTCAGGGTAGGGGCTAAAGGGCAGCCCGCTATAATTCCGCGGCGAGCGAAAGCTACGGGCGACGCGACTTCGTCGGAAAGGATCACTCTGCCGCCACGATACGATTCCATAGCGAGGAAAAGCAAAAGATCCGGGAATCCGGCAGTGAGCGCGGCGTCACAGAGAGTGGAGTGAACCACGGTCTCATAAAAGGTACTCAAGTCGACAAACAAAGAGCACCGATGGAGACCGTCGACGCGCGCGGCCTCGTAGCAGACGCCTCTCCGGAGCGAGGCGTCATAGGTGGAGCGCTCCGGCAAAGCGCAGTCCCACCAAAGCTCAGCGCGGTAGTCGCGAAGCCACGCTTCAACTAGGTGCCACCTGGCCTTCATTCCGAGCTTCAGGAGCGAAGACATCAAACCAATCGGTCTTTCGATTTTCTCGTTTTTAGCGAGCATTGTGAAGATGGTGAAGGTCATCTGCTGTGGCACCTCTCCCGTGGTTTCGATTTCCCTCCAAAACGAAGCCAGGGAGGAAACCTCACCCGGTGTCAGGGCTTTGAGCAGCTCAAGGGACCAGCCATCCACACCCGCCGCTTTTAAAGGCAGGCGGCGAATGAGCCGCTGGAACTCTTCCCCAGTGACGGCCGGGAGTCTCTGGGCTTGAGCAATTGCCCGTTCTTTAAGGCCCTGGATGGGAGGAGGAGGCTGGCCCTTCGACTCCCAAAGACGAGCCCACTGCTGCAGTCGGAGGTAGGGCCGGGCTTCAGCCGGTTCGTCCACGAATGGGCGGGCAACCTCAACCTCCTGCTTTTTGACCGTACGGAAGAGCGGCCGGAGGCCTTTCACAGAGGCCCCAGTAAGCCACTCCTGGTAGTCCCGTGTCTCGCGCGACCTGGACTCTTCGATGGCGGCCTGGCACATGCTCCTGACAACAGCGCGGATCCCAGCCCGGGAGTCACCTTTGGTTTCCCCGTTGCAGAGCACCTCTTCCGGACTGAGAGAGCAAACTTTTCACACCCCCTCATGCCCGAGAGTCCTCTTCACTTCTCCTCAAAAGTCTTCTTCGCGTTCTTCAGGAGAGCGAATCCTAAACCCGCTGGATACACACCTGACTCAGGAAGAGGAAGGTAGTAGTGGCCGTGTCCCTCAGAGCACTGAGAAGAAAGTCCCCACACAAACTCTGTGCGGTTGGACACAAACCACCATCTTTTCCAAGGTCGTTGGTCACCCTTTTCAAAGCAACAACGATCCACAAGGCAACCCTGATCCAAACGAAGCTTCTTAGAAAACCTCTTAAACACAGTCTCATCCCACAGTCCTGACCTCTCAGGCCACTCGTGAGAAAGCAGAAGGTTCGGGGAGCCCACGTAAGGCTCCAACAGCTTCTCGATCCTTTTCCAGGACCTCTTGTGAACGGCCAGAGCCGCTCTCCACTTCTCCAGGGCCTTTCCTCCCTTCTTAAACCTCAGGTGCCTTAAACCACACCCAGCAGAGCACGGAGTAGACAAGTGAGCATACACCTTGACCTCACCTTCAGCTACGACTCCGAAAACCTCTCTCAGAAGACACAAGCCATTATAGCTCAGAAGATCAACTTCCTTAGTCACCCCAAAGTAGGCGATCTCGGGGACCTTCGAGCAGGCTTTGGACAACGCACTTCCTTCTTCACAACACAGTTCAACCACTACGTACTTAGCTTCACCACGAGCTAGCTTCAAAGCAGCGGCTTTCCAGGAAGGCGGAACAGACGGAGTAAAACGTTCGTTTTCATTGGGCTCTTCAAAAGACACGTGCACCTCAGTAGGCTCACTCTCCCAGGCCTTCGGTTCATCCACAAGGCCAGAGGCATCGTACAAACTAGCCAAACTTTCGTTGGTGGGACTCTTCGTGAGGGCGTCCGCAGGGTTTATCACTCCCGGTATGTGTTCTATAGTAAAACGACCCCTGGCCACCAGCTCCTGAAGGAATGCGGCACGCAGTTCGATGTGCCTCACTTTCCTCAGGAGGGTCTGCATCTTTGATATACAAACCGCCGATTCGGAATCAGAATATCCCTTAAGAACATAATAACCGGTTTCCCTGTCTTTCGGCATACCCTCGCGGATGGTCTCCGCAAGCAAAGCAATGTACAACCCTTCACGAGCAACCTCTGTGAGTGCAGCGAGTTCTGCTTCCGCACTGGAGAGTGCGGTAGTCGTTTGTTTCCTGCTGAAGCTTTTCAGGGAACAGTTCTCCCACGTAATGATCCCGCCGCTTACCGAATTCAGACTCCAGCTCGCGTCCGTAAAACAAGATACAGAGGCAGGGTCCGCATCATCTTCCAAGATCTCCCTTTTGCTCGGAAACCTCTGGACCTTGTGCGGAAGACCCTTGACCCAACGAAGGACATCCCTCATACAGGTCTCGGCAGCTTCGTCAGGAGCTGCTTGGTGGCGGCCCAGAAACCCACACACAAACTGCAGGTCTGGTCGTGACAGAGCCGCCCAGGCCAAACGGCCCAGAGTCCTTCTGTACCTTTCGTGAGCAGCTGGACTGATCAGCTCAGTCTGGCCTTTCTTCAGCAACTCAGCATAGCGGCGTTCAAGGGAAGGGAGCTTTGGTGCAGGTTTGGTGATTCCGTACTCCTCGCAACAGGAACTCAGGTACTGTTCGTCTAGCCCGAAATACACCGTACGTTCCCCTTTCTTACGGCGAAAGATCCGCCGACCGAGAAACGAGACTTCCCCGGGGCAATCTTGAATCAACTCGCCCGTAAGTTTCAGTTTGTATCTTTTACGCAACTCCTCGTAGAACCGGCGCCCTTCAGCTTCATCTTCACTATAGATCAGCAAGTCATCCACATAAAACAACACAATCGTCAAACCCTTCCTCGTAAGACGACGGAATATAGTGGGGTCCAAACTTGCTTCGAAGTTCTGAGAGCGCAAGTATTCAGCCAACTCGCAATACCAAGATAATGGAGCAGACCGCAATCCGTTCATCGCTTTACGCAATTTGACGAAAACTCGTTCCCCAGTCCCCTGGGTGCTCACATTATTCGGCAACTCTACGAATTCTGCCCTCGCTACGGGAGCATGCATGAACGCTACCGAGACATCGCAGGACAACACACTGCCACGTCGGCAGAGCATTGACAGAAGCAATCTCAGACCCTCCAATGAAGTAGTAGGAGAGTAAATTCCCTCACTCAAGGTGGTGCCTCCCATAGAGGCATAATCCCGCACGACTAGCCTAGATCTATACAGTCCCTTCTTCTTGACCGTGTTGACCCACCTGCTAGTCAAAACTCGCCTGCCGTTTTCCTTAGCAAGACGGCGAGCTTCGCGCTCAGGGATCACTTCCCCAACCTTGAAGGACTCCAACTCTTCCAACTCAAGCTTCATTGATGTGTAAAGGAGGTCGGGTTCTAGCTTCTCTCCCGAAGTCTCAGACACAGCGTTCTGGGGAACAGCACACCTTATCTTCGTACCCCCAAACTTCAAATCAAACGACTTTGCAACTGCAGCGGAGGTGGCTCGCAGGTCAGGCCCTCGAAACAGGGACTCAAGATAGTGATTCGTGAGCCAGTCTATTTCCATATCCCCCTCATCGTTCACAACCTCCTGGTTCTCAGGCGCTTCCGACGGAGAATAGTCAGCAAGCTCATCTTCAATCATCTCTTCATCACCATCTTCATCCATTCCCGCACCAGCCCCCTCATCGGGAGCATCATCACCAGGAGCCTCCAAAGGATCAAACAGTATGGGCCTCTCGGGGTCCTCAGTGTCCTGCAGAAGAGGCTTAGCTAAAGATAGCTCTTCCAGGGTCTTGGCATCGTAGATGTCACCTCCCTGAATCATTCTGGCGACGGGGAATATATCTATTTCCCTGCTTCCGATAGGGACGGCAAAGATGCCGCCACCTTTGGCGTGCACCGGTCCCAGATAAACCGCTTTCACGGTCCGGGCGCCCCTGAACTTATCATGGTGCGCCTTGGACTTACTGACCTGAGCTTGAACCAGACACCCGAACGGTCTCGTCCGAGTTCGGTTCACAATCTCCTCATGCAGTCGATCTATGCTAGTGCTCGAATCCCCGACGCTGGTACACCAGAGGTTATAGCACCTAGCAACATAGAAAACACAGGCTTGCCAAAGCAAACCTCCCAAAGGTAACTGATACTTCCCAAGCTCAACGGCTTCCGTTTCCTGCTTCACCTTAGCAACCTCTTTCTCCAGGTCCAACCAAACAGACCAGAAACCCTGCTTCATAGTTTCAACCTGCCGCTCAATCGATCCTTTCGACTGGGGCCGATACCCCGGAACCACGTCAATCAATGTTGCGCTGGCAGGGCTGCTATCGCACTTGGTGAGTTTCTCGGCAAGGGCTCCAAGAGCCGCTTCTTGGTCCATCCGAAATGTAACCGCTTTACCGACTAATCCCATTTCGCGAATCACACGGTTGATGTTGTGGAGCAAGTCAGGGTCATCGAGGTGCATCGCAGGAAGAGAGACAGTATACTTAGAACCGCGGTGCATCATCAAGAGTACCCTCAGTTTTCCGAAATAGAAGAAATCAAGACCGATGGTCTGGTTCTCTCTCTGAAGCTTCCTCCTTAAGCGACGCGCCGGAACGCGCCCTTTCGAAGAACAACACGCTTCACAATTGGAATCAAACGGAAAATGCCCTCGGCTCCGATGATTATACAACGAAACAGAAGAAAGAGGAACCCTCAGGTCCTCCTCGTCCTCAGGTCCAACCGGGTCGTCAGGTGGTGTTGGACCCTTTTCTTTTCGAGGTTTCTTGGAAGAGCCAGGGGCAGATCCTAACGGTTCAGGGTCCTCATCAAAGATTCCTTCAGGATCTAAAGGATTACGACTAGAAGCTTCAGGTTTTAAGGAAGTTTCGGGAGCAGGTCTCGAGGAAGGTTCGGGGTCTAAGTCAAACGGATCAGAACGTGTACCGGTCCCCGGCGACGGTAAACCTCTAAAGCGCACGGCTCGGAGCACGTGCTCAACTTGTTCCGTCTTCTTTGCCGGGGCCGGTTCATCATCTCCGGCACAAAGCATGCCAAACATGCCGCAACATGCGCACTTTAAGTTTTCACAGACATGATCACAAACGCGCTGCCCAAAACCTGTCACCTCACGACTCAAAAGAAGTTTCCTACTCACCTCGACGCGGGCCCAACGGTCCCGCAGCTTAATCCTAAAGTAGCTTCCACGTTTTCTAGAAAACACCCTATAGAACTTCCGTGGCCTCTTTCGCGAAACCACTTTCCTGAAACACCGAAGTAACCCTGAAGAAACCCACAAAGCTATACCACACAGGAGGCTGTAGACCGTCAGGAGGAGCACGATGATACCAAGATCCAGTCCTGGCGTGAAACCATTCCTGAAAGCGGCCGTGGTTTTAAAGGTGCGGGTTTCGAAGGTAGGAGGGTTCGAGGTACGTTGGGTTGGTTTTCGAGCAAACGCAACATGCCACAGACCATGCCAACGCTCATGCCACACAACATGCTGCTGCAAAACGTGCTGCTGCAAAGTGTGCTGCTGTAAAGCGTGCTGTTGCAAAACGTGCTCGCAAGAAAAAACTTTTGAACTCCAACCCCTCGGTGCGGATCGCCGCAGAGTCACTCCAAAAGCCTCTGGCCCTCTTCGAGGGCTTGCCTCACCTGCGCAGTCACTTGACTGTGGCTTAAAGATGGCGGGCTGAGCACAAATGCCCGTTCCTGGGCAGTCTGTCCTGTGGCAGAAGCACTCATAGCTCTCGGAGGCGTTGGTAGCCGAGATCTTTTTGGAACCGACGGCGGGATGTTCACGCCGTGTCTTTGATAGTCCTCCCTCTGCATCCCCTCCGGAAGCGTAGGTGCTGAGACCCTCGGGAGATTGAATGCAGTAGCCACCAGTTCTCCAGGTGGCATCGAGGAAGCCGGGCTCGGCGGTGCCGGCTGTCCCGCCTCGGCGGGCTGATTTCCCTCGTCGGCCCCAACGAAGCCATCCAATTGGGACAGCCTCTGGCCTGTAAGTTCTTCCAACGTGCGCCATATGGCGATGTCGGATAAATCTTCTTGGCCCTGGGCCCTGTTCAGCGCCGTAACTTCTCCTTCTCCAAGGAGCAAAGACTCCTCGTCGGAGCTCGAAGAGGTGGTGTCCACAACACCGCCCTGAGGGATCGCTGCCGATTTGGCCCTTGCCGCTCGCATGGATTCCCGGGCCTCGTGGAGGCGCTCCTCCTCTCGTTTTCGCCTGTAATATCGGGCAACACGGAGATATATGCCCGAATCTAGGTATGCCCAAGCCGTTTTGAGCTCGAGCGAGGTGACAGACTGGGTCACCTTTACGAGCAGACTCGCCCGCGCTCCCACCAGTCCCCTGTATCCAGCAGGCGTAGCCAAATAGGTTTGCAGTACAGCTCGACAATGGAAGATATAGTGTAACATAGACACAGGGTTGGGTTCCTGGAACCTTCGTTTCCACGCTGCCCGAGCGGCCCGTGGAGCCTCCAGAAGTTCGGTAACCCTGACAGCGAACTCCACGTCTTCCATATGAAGCCCGTACTCTGCTAGGCTCTTGCCCTCTAGGCAACGTCCCAACCAAACCTCCCATTCCTGCTGCCCAATGATACATTGGGCTTCCGATTCCACCATCTTCGGCCTCGAAACCCTCACTGGCTCCTCTGGATAGGCCGCTGTCACAGGAATCACTGGAGTGGCTGGTAGCCAAGCAGCTGGATGCTCTAGGTCGGGCAGGCCTATCGGACCGAGCATTGTCGCCGTCGGAGAGCAAAGTGCTCTCAAGGCGTGGCCTGGAGCACAGAACGCCAGGGATGGGGCATCGTAGGCATCGTTCATGTTCGCTGGAATCCCCGCCAAATGCGAGAGCAACGGAATAAGCTCGGTAGAGTCGACCGAGACCTTTGCAAGGCCCAGTGTTTCCGCATGCTCCCATCTGCGGCCAGCCTCCAGCCTCAACGCTCTCAGGAGGAGTTGGGTTCCCACATCCATCTGAACAGCACCAAACGGAGGGCTCAGCGAGCCCGGCGAGATGTTCGCCGGGATTCCAACCCGCGGTGGCGTAGGCCCCTCGACCTCTGAACGAACCCCAGCGCGCAGGCGCTTCGAGGGATTCGGCCACTTTTGGCCCCAACTCTCCTCCCCTTCGCTCTCTGAGAACAAAGGGCTCTCTGCAATATCCGCCTTCGGCGGACTCCTCGCAGTATTCTCCTCCACAGGGCTTCCAGCCGCATCTGCCTGCGAAGGGCCATCTGCAGAGCTCTCCGCTGCTTCCGTCACCACTGGCGACGGGTAGACCGCCACCGGCGACGATGGTCCCCCACCCGGCGGCTCGACCCCCGGTAGTTCGAAAGAGGGGCTCTCCAAAGCCGGTGGAGTAGGCGGTTTCCCAGGAGAGCCTGGGCTGCTCAAAGCAACACTCGGGGTAAACTCGTCCCCGCTGGCACCGTCCATTATGATCTCCAAAGGGAGACCTCTCTTCACCAAAGAGAAAAACGGCTGCAGATGAATCGTGCGCAGTGCTAGCGCAAACATTCGGCAACATCAGCGTTTGAAAAATCAAGCCAAGCATGCCAACATGCCACTGTTTCCTAGGTTCACGCAGCTGTTTCCTAGGCTCACGCATCTGCTTCCTAGGCTCACGCATCTGCTTCCTAGGCTCATGCCGCTGCTTCCTAAGCTCAGGCAACTGCTTTCGCAACCCTTTTTCTACCCTCTTGTGGCTGAAGGGTCTGTTTTCTTCACTTGCCATCAAGCAAGACCCAACCAGCTGCAATGCTACCATCAGCATCGCTCTCAGCATACTGCGAATCTGGAACTTCGTCGTGGGCACGTAGCCATTGCAACCCAGACCAGTGTTGAATGCAGGCCCAACAATAATGATGGGTGTGCGCAGGTTTGCGTCTGACGCAGACCTGCTTTCCGCACACTTCGCACCGGCACTCGCATTCTGGCTTTGATCCGCCCAGATAGTTTCCCATAGCAGGGAAAAAGAGGCGTATGCCGAGTCTTTCTGCAAAAACCGTAAGGGTAAAAGCCCGCTTGAGCACAGCAGCAAAAACCCACTGCGTTTGCACAACCATGTCCATCATGAAAACATGCCATCGCAAAACCATGGAAAAACATGCCAAAAACATGCAAAGCACCATGCCAACATGCGACTGTTTCCTAAAATCAAGAGCCATGCCAACATGCGACTGTTTCCTAAAATCACGCGACATGCCAGCATGCAACTGTTTCCTAAAATCAAGCGCCGTGCCCTGCCTAAAGTCACTAGACTCTTCTAGAAAATCACAAAGCTCAATCTCCCGTGGTGCAGGCGCTCTTGGAGCAACTTCCGCCCTAAGACCCCGAAGCAGAAACCCAAAAGGAGTGGCAGCCAAAGCGTGGCGGCCAGACTCGTCTTCTTCCGAAGTCTTTCTTCCTTTCTTCAGGATTCCTTCTCCAGGCTTCTGGGGTCCTGCGGTGGACTCCTTGCTCGATCCTAGCAGGTCGCGGTCCTTCAAGGCATCTATCTCCATATCCTCGATCCCTTTCGGGGGGCGTCTGGAAGAATTCTCTTTCCCCCGGCCCTTGGACCTCCCGCTCAGAGCCCACCAGGCGCGCGAAGCGCCCATCAGCTTGATGCTCTTCTTTCCGTTTCCTTTGTACAATCGTGATCCCGATTTGGCTAGATAGGTTTTCCAGCCCCGTTCCGACCCGGTCCAAGGCGAAACAACGTTGAACCCAACATCCGCCACCAAGACCTCTTCCAACCTCAGGAAAACATCACCAAAATGAACCTCAAGGTCGACAACCCCCGACACGACGATCGCACCACCCGAGGCGTTGAACAGATTGGCCGTTCGGTCGTACTTCTTGACAACACGAAATCCTGAGAGATGTTTGTCTGAAACAATGTGGCAGGTGGCTCCACTATCGACTAGCCACAGGTCCCCAGGAGTAGTCTCGAGGGCCTTGCAGACATGAGCTACGTCGCCGTGCTTCAACACACGGGATCCTAAGGAGCCCATAGACTCAGAACCTCGACTCTCAGACCCAGGCGACCCTTCGGGTCCTGCACCCGGCTTCGGAACTACAAGGGCGGACGGCTCAGGTCTCTCAGGCTGGCTCAGAACACGGCGTTCCGAAGAAGAGGGCTCCGAAGAACCACGCCCAGGACAGGAAAACCTCATCGCCATCACTGTGGCGCTTCCTCCCGACTCGGCCTCGGACTCCGGCTCTGTCAAGGAGCGTCCCTTTCCAGGCTGTCCCTTCTTCTTTTTCTTCTGCTTCTTGCCTTTGTCCTTTCCTTTGTCGCCTTTTCCTCTGTCGCCCTTGCCCTTCTCGGAACCACGGGGCGTACCAGATCCCTTGGGAGTCTGGTCGCCTTTTCCTTTCGGCTTTCCTTTGTCTCCTTTCCCTTTGCCCTTCGGAGCACCACCGCGTTCACGTTCTTCCTTTTGGCGCTGCCAACACTTGTCGGCTGTGTGTCCCTTCTTCCCG